ACTGTGATTCTGAACCTGTGCCAATAATACCATTATGTGCCATGTACTGATGTGAAAGACTTCGCAGCAAGCCGAAGCTAAGTGAATTACACATAGACATATTACAGAAAATAGGGGTGGGGTATCTCTTCTGATAGAGTCAATATTTCTGGTCAATATACATATATACATATATATAAATATATATATATATATACAACACACACACACTTTTTTGTACTGTAGCAATTTTTGAAGATCTTAAATGTTCATTTTTAAAAAAGAATTGTGTCATGGGCTACAAATCTGGTTTCCTTAACATGCTTAGTATGAACTAAATAACCTGATGTTTTCTACTTCGGCAGCTTGCCTTTCAAACATATATATTTATATGTATAAAGATATATATACATATACATATATACACACACACACACACACACACACAAACATATAACACACACACACACATTTGAAATACATTTTCAGTAGTGAACATATTATTTGTAAGGCCCACTAACCAATTGATAATGGAGGCTTCGCTGAAGAGGTTTGGAAGGTCTGTGAAAATAACAGTTCTCTTTCCCACGGTGGAATTGCCAGGGGGCCAGCAAGAATGGGAAGAGACTGTCTTTGGCCGAAAGCAGGATTTTATGAAATTGCTCACAGTGCAAATATCAGGTGGTTCTGACAGTTCACAAAAGAAAAGTGTGCGTAATAGTATTCTAGGCTGAGCCCAGGAGTATTTTGGTTACAACTGAAAATATGCATTAGGCTCAAATTCACAAAGTGCACTCTTGTTTTTGTGAATTACAACAAAGTCCAAATTTAAACTTCGAAGGAGTGAAGTCTCAGTGGAAAATCCCATGAACCTGGCCACACAGATATTTGCATGCTGAACCCCCCAACTCAAGTGCTAGTGCTGCTGTGAAACAGCAATGAACTGAAAGAGTGATCTGTGTTTGGAGGGTAAATTTAAAATCAAGCTTTGTTCCAAATATCCCAGATATATGCATTGAAGTAGTGTCAACTCCAGGTGAACCTTCATGTGCTTGCCAGGGTTACCAAAAATTATCACACACTATTCTGTTCCTGTAAAAAAAAAATAAGCAAACAACCAATCCATACCTCCAGACCCTCTCCCCACCTTCACTAGAAATGCATGCACCAAAGTGATCGAGTAATCCTAGACCTTCCCAGATTACTGTAAAACCTAAAAGATAGGTTGTATTGGATTGCAGGGAGCCTAAAAATGGAATCTGAATTCAGCATCTGTGCCATTCATTAGATAATAAATGTTGGGTAGACTTTGCAAATGCAGACAAGTGGGGACAGCGGCAAGAGCTATTGTTACTGAAAGCAAGTTGTAGCTAGGAAGAAGTTACTACGAAAACTGAGCAGTGAACGCTTTTATTTTTTTAATTCGTATGCTCACAATTTGGATAGAAGAAAGGCCTGAAAACAACTGGAAGTTCCCTTCATTTTGTAGCGCTTTAGTCTCTATCTGTATATTTATGGTGTTATACATATGTGCTGGCCAGAGGTGAGTCTAAACATTATTCTCTCTGTGGAAAAACATAGAATTTCCCACTTTTGAAACCATGTTGCATTTCACTAAACTCCGTCTCATCTTACCGTGGGAAGTTATGAGTCAGCCTTTCAAACACAACTCCTGTAGTGCTGCGGGGGGAAAGCACAGGCTTTGCCTTTCCTCCCTAGCTACTGGAAAAACCTGGCTGCAAATCTTCCGCCAGCTTCTGAATGATGAATCCATCTTGGTTGTGGTCAGCCCCTCCGATGTGGCTTACTATGAATGTTTGTGTGGTGAATTTTATCGGCACAAACCCTCCCAGAAATGAACCTTAAAGTCAGATGTGAGAGTATTTGTGGAAACTGAATTTAAACTTCTCTGTGCAGAGCATAAATAGTCATACTCATTCAGTTGAGGGTAGGGAAAAAAAAAATAATTTGTGAATCCTCTGGCCTATCACAATGAACTGGCACTAGACTGGATCCAAAGACCACCAAATCATTTGGTGCCTTTCTACTGGCTTCAGTGGGTTTGGATTAAGGTGCACATAAATACAGCCCTACACAGCTGTTTGGGAAAAAATGATGGCATTAAAATGTCTTCATACCAGCTCATCTTTGTACCAGCTCAACCAGTCCCGGCACTTTTGTTTTGGGGGTTAATTTTTGATCAAGGGTAATGAACTATTTTTTAACATAATGACTTACAAAGTAAAACTTGCCATACAAATCTTTCCAGTGGGACTAGGTTCTGATCATTAGTGCAGCCAATAGGGACGTGCTGGGTAGCTAGGTCAAGCCAAAGATAATTAGGTTTGGCTGTCATCTTTAAATAGGAGGGAGCAGAAATAACTATAATCCATGAATATCTACTTACAGTAGCTGATATCGATCCAAGAACAGCTTCCACAACTTAAAAGATGTCTCATTGCCAGCATATTTTGGGCAATGTTTGCAAACAGTTTCAGGAACTCCTCACTTTTCTAAAATCTGACCTCCCCCATGCCTAGAAGAGGGCATCCACCATTTGAAGAACATCTTTTCAAATGTTTATATTAGCTACTTTATTCTTGAATGGACTCTTCTTGCTATTTCTAACTGAAGCATTTACCCCAAGTAGTCTATATGACTAAAGGCATGTATTCTGCCCTCTTTTACGCTTGTACAAACCTACAGAAACCTCAGTGAAATGAATTGCAGTGAACTTAATATACATTTAGAAAAGCCTAAGTTAACCAGACTCTAGCTCCAAGGTTGCAGGATCTTTCTTGTAAGCTGCCTCCATAAGCAATGGCAATTTGTTGGAATTATGCAGAACAACATTCATATTTATATATTAAATACTTGACTCACTTTCTGTATTCAACTTAATATGGGAAGTATTCAGAAGAAAGCGGATACGTCCCACATTTTATGTGATTAATAGTGCCCTGAAAAACATGATCACTTTTGAAGTCCTCCTGCTTCCATAGTATTTTCTATCCCTTTCTTACACTACTAGGTGTTTTTTATTTACAATCTGCTCTGCTCAGCTCTGGAAAGAAATCTTCATGGCCCTGCTCCCTTCCCTCGTTAGGACATATGGGCCTGACTCCAAGCCCTTTGAAGGCAATGGAATGACTGTAACTTTGAGGGGCTTCAAATCAGACACACCACTTCCTATTAAGCTGGATCACACATAGAGTCTGGTATTTGGTAAGAAGGACGAGCATAGATTATTTTTTGTCACCATGTATTATCTTACGTTCTCTTATGTTAAATTCTACCTGTCATTGTGCTGCTTGACATGTACAGTGTTTCTGTCCACCCCAGACCTTTCAAATGGACCTCACAAGTTTTACAAAGCCACCTATCAAATGAGTTTTATATACTTAACCTCCACTTTCCACACCTAGACTGACTGCCACAGCACCCACCTACTTACCTCCTTCCACCTCCTTCAACCATACAGTGGGACCAGTTTCCTAAAGCACCCAGTCATTTTGTATCCTCTGACAAAATTTTGCTCTGTATTTAAGAACCATTTATATCCTTCAGGTGAAATTTCATTCCTCTTGAGTAGCACCTCTTGACTTCAGGGAGGTTGCTCATAGAGATGGCTTCTATTCAGCGGACGCATCTACATAGGATGCTACATTGCCATAATGACAAACTATGGCAATGTAGCTCGTCGCTATGGTGACATAGCATCAGCAGGCACTAACTATGACGCTACCACTACTGTGCAGTAGGGTCGGAAATGACCTGTGCGCTGCCAGTACTGCCCAGTCCTGGCATGTTGTAGATGCCCCCAGGATGTAGTAGATTATAAAAATGTTGACTTCCATCCTCTTTTCTGGGGGAACCTAGCA